ATGAAAAAGGAATCTACCTTTACAATACTTTACAGTACTGTTAAAGTACACCTTTAGCAAGCACTGCTGGATGGGCTCTATTTCACACTATCTATGCAGGAAGTTTCCTCTACAGGTGTTTATTCCTCCACTGAAATAAGATCCCACTGTAAAAACACAAAGCATCCACCCTGCACACCAAAAAAAAAAAAAAAAAAAAAAAGGTACGGTGTCATAGGAACTGTTCCCTCTCTAAAATCTCCCTTGTGCTTGTTCACCACCATTTAGTGGAATGAGACAAATTCTGTTTTGCAAAGCCAATTTCACACATATAACAAACAAAATTCTTCAACCTAGAAAAATTTAGTTGGTTCTGTGCAGAGGGGAATTAGTAGCATTTTAGAGGGTTGGATGTTTTTGCTAGTCTGCTCTACAATAGATTAACAACAACATGAAAAAATTACTGGGAAAATATTTATTTTACACCTGAGGATGTAAAAAAAAAAACCATACTATTACATGCTAGTCCTGGAAAATTATTAGTTTTGTCAAGGGAATTGTTCATATCATCAGAGCCTAGTTTTGCTTGATTGTATAACCTTTATTTTTATCTGTATAGGTCTGCCTGGTTCTCTGGACACTGACTGCCACAAACTTTTAGTAAATTTGCAACACCGACTTTTCCAACTTGAAGCCGGTAATTCTTCCTCTTGTTACTTTTTCAACTCACAAACAGTTTTAAGCTCAGTAGGCAAAATTAATTATAGATTCATGACTTGCAGGAAAGAAATTGCATTTGAAAATGGTACTGCATCCCAAAACTCCATTTTCTCATCCAAAGCTCAGGAAATCAAGACTCTGTTTCCCTGGAGTAGTGGATTTCTTTTAGCAACTGTAACACATATTTATTAAAATTTGATTTATTTGAAAAATATTACAACTGATGTTGCACTTTCCACACAGATTCATCGGAACTCCTCAGTTTTGTACCACATATTTTTGTCTATCAGCAACCAGATTGTTGAGGGTGGTAAATTGTTTCTTTCTGAGAAAGAATTCACAAAAAAAAAAATATCACTTCTCTATTTCACTTGCTCAAATTTGAAGTAAACTGATCCTCTTTAGAAAGCACACTCAATATAACAGGGCTCACAGAGTATGTAGCAAATGTGAGTGGGGCATCCTCATCTTGGAGATAAGGACAGATGGTCACAAGAAGCATAACAATACACTTGGGGAAAAACTAGTGGATTGGTAAAATTTAAGATCTTTTTTCTCTTTATCCATTACTCTCATTTTTGCCTTCTCTTCCTCTTATCACTTTTAATTTGCTCTTTGTCTCTTGATTTCCCTTTCTTTGCTTTTTCTTCAATAGGCTGCAGAAAATTTAAAAAGCTAAGTAGGTTTTTTGTTTGGTTTGTTTTTTATGTTTCAGTACTTGCTTTGAATGGGAAAATAAGAGAAGTAGGAGAGAAAGTCTTTGCTACCAATGGAAAGAAAGCTGATTTTGCATCTGCACTACGATCCTGTGAAGAGGCTGGAGGAACTCTTGCAACTCCCATGAATGAGGAAGAGAATAAAGCTATTATGGACATCGTGAAACAGTACAAACAATATGCTTACTTGGGCATTAAAGAGTGTGAGACTTCAGGCCAGTTTACATATATAACTGGCGTGCCTCTGGGCTACACCAAGTGGCACCAATATGAGCCTAATGGCAAAGGGAAAGAAAAATGTGTAGAGATGTACACAGATGGGAGCTGGAACGACAAAAAGTGCAACCTGTATCGTCTCACAGTCTGTGAATTTTAAAGAATGGCCTTTCAGCCACCTCGGAGTGTGGAGACAATGAAATATGCTGTGTCTTAGGTTTATAAAATTGCTGCAAATTTTCTATATTGTAAAATCTAAAATGAATCATATTTAGGTAATTTTTTATCCTTAAGAAAATACTAA